AGAAATGCAAAAGGCAAGGTTAAACTGACCCCAAGGAGATTCAAAAGATTATCAGAGATAACTATATATACTTATATGCAAATAAACTTGAAAACCTAAAGGAAATGTAAGACTCTCTGACATCATACAACTTCCCAAGGTTGAAACTAGAAGAAATTGAATCCCTAAACAGAACAATAAGAATTCAGGACATGAGAAATCTACCTACCAAAAAAGTCCCAAACCAGATGACTTTCCAGCTGAATTCTACAAGACATAAAAGAAAGAGATGATGCCAACCTTATCAAAAGTATCCCAATCAATCAAGAAAGATGGAATTCTTCCCGAATCATTTTATGAAGTTAATATCACACTGATACCAAACTTGGCAAAGACCCAATAGGGAAAAAGAATACAGGCCAATCTCTTTAATGAGCATAGGCGCAACAATTCACAACAAGATTCTGGCAAATCAGGTCCAACAACACACCACAAGGATCATCAACTATGACCAGAGGGACTTCATTCCTGAGACGCAGAGCTGGTTCAACATTTGCAAGACCATAAGTGTAATTCATTGCATTAACAGATGTGAAAACAAGAACCACATGATATCATTAGATGCAGAAAAAGCACTTGACAAAACCCAGCATCCCTTCTTGATAAAAATCCTTGGACACCTAGACATAGAAGGAACATTCCTCAAAACATTAAGAGCCATCTATGATAAACCCACAGCCAAAATTTTGCTCAGTGGGCAGAAGTTGGAAGCATTCCCCATGAGAACAGGAATAAGACAATGATGCCACTTCCACCCTTCCTGTTCAACATAGTGCTGGAGTCCTTGCCAGCACAATCAGGCAAGAGAAGGACATCAGGAGTATCCCTATAGGAAAAGAGGAAGTTGAGGTATCCCTCTTTGCAGACGATATGATTCTATACCTTGAAAATCCAAGGGAGTCCATCAAAAGCCCCTTGTACTGATAATCAACTTTGGTAAAGTTTCAGGGTACAGAATCAATGTGCAAAAGACAGTTGCATTTCTATACACCAGCAACAAGTGGGCAGATAATCAATTAAAAAGCACAATCCCATTCACAATAGCCACAAAAAAAGAAAAACACAGAGAGAGAGAGAGAGAGAGAGAGAGAGAGAGAGAGAGAGAGGAAGGAAGGAAGGAAAGTTGTTGGCATCCACTTAACACGAGAAGTGAAAGAAAGACATTTACAAGGAGAACAGCAGAACACTGCTCAAAGAAATCAAAGATGACACAAACAAATGGAAAAGAACTCCTTGTTCGTGGAATGGAAAAATCAGTATTGTCAAGATATTCATCCTACCCAAGGCAATCTACAGATTCAATGCAATACCCATCAAATTACTAATATCATTTTTCTTGGACCCTGAAATGACAATACAGAAATCCATATGAAAACAGAAAAGAGCACAAATAGCCAAAACAATCCTCAGCAAAAGGAACAAAGCAGAAGCTATCTCACTTCCAGGCTTTTTAAACTTTATTACAAGGCTACAGTAACTAACACAGCATGGTATTAGTACAATAATAGACACAAAGACCAGTGGAATAGGACAGAGATTTTGGAAGCAAAAGCACAGTCTCAACCAACTCATCTTTGACAAAGCCACCAATAACTGGAAAAGAAAACCAGATTGAGCAAATGGTGCTGGGAAAACTGGCTGACCACATGCAGAAGAATGAAACTGGACCCCTACCTATCATCATATAGAAAAATCAACTTAAAATGGATCAAAGACCTAAACATAAAACCTCAAACTATAAAAATCCTCCTAGAAGAAAACATGGGAAACACCCTTATGCACATCAGAGTCGTAACAGGTTATTGACCAAGTCCCCAAAAGCTAATGCTATAAAAGCTAAGATAGACAAGGAGAACCTCATAAAACTGAAAAGCTTTTGCACAGCAAAATAAGCCATCAAGAAAGTGGAGAGACAACCCAAAGAATGGGAAAAAATATTTGCCAATTATATATCTGATAAAGGCCTAATATTCAGGATCTACAAAGAACTCAAATGAGCTGAAAGGAAAAAAAACAATCCTATTAATAAAATGAGCAAAGGATATGAGTTATACTTTTCAAAAGAAGATATACAAGCATCCAAAAGATGCATGAAAAAATGCTCAACCTCACTAATCATCAGAGAAATGCAAATCAAAACTACAGTGAGACATTACCTAACTCAGGTAAGGATGGCCATCATTAACAAGTAAAAAAAAAATGGTAAGATGTTGGTATGGGTGTGGAGAAAAGAGAATGCTTCTACAATCTTGATGGGAGCGCAAGCTAGTTCATCACCTATGGAAAGCAGTATAGCAATTCCTAAAAGACCTAAAAGTTGACCTTCCATACAATCCAGCAATCCCTCTCCAGGAAATGTCACTAGAGGAACATAAATAATTCTACAAAAAGTACACCTGCACATGCATGTTTACAGCCACACTATTCACAATAGCAAAAACAAGGGACCAACCCTATTGCCCATTGAAAGTGAACTGGATAAAGAAAATATGGTACATATATACAATGGAGGATTATGCAGCTATAAAGAAAAACAAAATCATGGATTTGCAGCAAATTGGATGGAGTTGGAGTCCATCATACTTAGTGATCTATCACATAAACAAAGAACTGAATACTGAATGTTCTCATTCATAAGTGGGACCTGAACATTGATCACATTGCCACATGGGGGGTTGACAGTCACTGGTCACACCAGGGGAGGGAGGGAAGGAGAGAGGATAGGTAACAACACAAAGGGTACCTGGTCCCAAAACAGGGGAAGTGAGGGTCCGTTGGAGACCCAAACCTCACCTGCATGCAGCCTACTTGTGTAGTTAGTCCCTTCTTGTACCCTATGTCTCTATAATAAAATAAAAAAATAAATAAATTAACTTAAAAAACAAGCAAAATTAAAATGAAGAAACAAGAGACTTGAGCAGTCATTTCTGCTCAGTCACCTAAGTCCCCAGAACGTCCCCCGCAAGCATGTCTACACATGATCTTGCCTTCCACTGCACAAAATGTATATTGGTAATTTTTTGACTAGAATTTCATTGCCACTTCATAAACAAGCATTCTTCGATTGTTGGTTGCTAACTTTGTAGTATGTCACTGAGTTCTCTGCAATCATCCACAGATCCCATTTCTAAGACTGGTAGAATCATTGTTACTTTACAGTTGCCAGTTACTCTGTTCTTGGCCCCTTTACAAGGCTAATTAATACCAGATTAGGACCAGAATCCTAAAAATCTTGGTATCTGTTTTAGACACGGATTACAAAATTGAAATGTAACACAAATGTCTAAATTCTGAAAGATCGATGCCCAGCGGTGGCACGGGGTTTGGGGACCAGTCCCAATGGGGTTTCTCTGGGAGCCGAGCTGTGAGCTTGTATAGACGTCAGTCTGCACTGGCAGGGGGATCTTGAGAGAGCAGGCTGCCTGCAGAGCCCAGAAGGAGTGCGGGCACAGCGTGAACTTTTACGTAAGAAACACAAAGGTTTTATATAGAAATTGGGATTTAAGGTGTGTGCGCTTCGATTCTGGAGAGGTTTTGAAGTCCTCGGAAGGGAACAGGACTCAGCACAGGCCGAAAATAGAAGACATTTCCGTGTCTCTGAGAGAGGAATGAAGGTTACACGATATCCCCGTTGTGAAATTGTAAAGGAAAATGATCAAAACCGTAGAAGGGATTAAAAATACGAGTACAGAAGGGGATGGTGTGAAACTATAGCTTGTAAATACTGGAGAACTTGAGTTGGAAATGAAGGGCTAATCCTCTGTCTTTGATGCAGATTCACTTTGTTGTGTCGCTCTGAGTTGTCAGCTGAAAATATCCTCATTACCGAGCTGTGTCATATGAACTGGAGGACATTAAAATGTCAGATGCAATAAAATTTGAAAATCTTGGTGCGTTTTTCTAAATGTGCCCCTGCTTATTTTCTATACTTACTTGTCATTTCTTTGCAGAGAGATCAATCTTAGAAGCAGTGCCTTCTTTTGCTAATTTTGGGGTACTAAATTTTACATTGAAAGTAGCTATGTTTCCGTATCCTAGGCCTTGTTAAGTGACGTCTATCCCTTTCTGGTGCCTCATCTGTGATAAAGATTTTCAAGTGTTTGTGGAGCTATTCACATGAAGAGATCTAATTTTGATGGAAATGCTTATGCTCAGATGGTATTAATATTTTATAGTAACATGTAGAAATAGCCCATTGGTTGTAAGCTGCTAAGTAACCTTTCTCCATCAGTGTTTATACACAGGAAACTTTTAAAGTGGCAACCTATTTTCTTACTGTGGTTTGGAAGATCTGTCTGTCTGGAACAGCACTATCTACCAGAAATTTCTGGAATGATGGAAATGTCCTATATCTATACTGTTCAATATAGTAACACTAGCCCTATATGTGTACTGAGTACTCAAAGCGTAGGAAGTGATACTGGGAAGTGAATTCTTAACTCTGATGTTAGTTGAATGTATTTTATCTTTACATATATATGACTAGTGGGCTAGCCTCCTCAGGGCTAGATTATCAGATTGCCTTGTTGGAGCTCTTGCTGAGGCTGGATCCAGCAAGCTTTAAATCATGTTAATGACGGTTATTTGCTTATTCCGAAATCTGGGAGATTTATTTATGGAATCATTTATCCTAATGAATTATAGTGGTTCAGATATCATGTCCTTGGATCGTACCTTCTTTCCACTGGAGACAAGTGACTTTCAAATGACAGAGTAGATTTTAGTCATCACAGTGTTCAGTGTAGGAAATGTAATTGTTAAAATAGCAAAAAATCAAAATAAAAAATTAAAAAAGAAGAAGAACAGTGTAAGATGGTTTTATCGTTTATGGTTCTCATCCAAAAAGCTGGGTCCATTTCGCTATGTTTGACACAAGTTGAAGAACCTTGAATTGTCAATGTACATATGACACCTTTTATGGCGCAGGATTCTTAACACAGTGTTATGGTTTAATTTTTCAGAATTTCTACAAAGAAATTGAAAGAGAAGAAATGTATATAAGGTATGTATACATCACACTTGCCTTCACTCTTTGCGTGTTTATCATAATTGTTGTTTGTCAAATCTGTGCTAAGAAATGTTTTATAACCCCAAAGCTTTATTTTGTGGAAAATTGTGAAGCCTCTAAACTTGAGTTTGGTGGCTCTCAGCTGTGTTCTCAACCCATATGTAGTTTGTGCATACCAATGCAGAGTTCTTGGTGGTCACATTGAGCCAACTCAGAAGCAGAACTATAAATGATTATTTCACAAAGCTTTTGTATCTCTTGACCAACTCATATGACCCTTTTGAATGTTTCACATTTGATCATATATGATCAAATGAGAAATCTAGTTATAAATTTACTAGAAATAGGCAATGTTGTAATTTTTCAATCTACTCTTGACACCATAGTCGCATGATTTCTTATGTCTTTATCACTTGCCTTGTTCCTTAGAGTTGGGGACTGTGATTGAGCCCTTCTCTTTCTTGGTCATTTTTGGGGTTCAGTGTCAAACAACTAGCAAGATTACCACTTTGAAACATAAGATAAGATATAAACCGCATGGCATGAATGTTTAATTATGTGTTTATTACATTGAGTACAATTGTCTAATTTTTTCATTTCTAATATTTTTTAGTCTCCTTTTTAAAAAATACCATATGAATTTAATATCTTTGAAAAATAATCAGTTACCTTTATTTCTTTATAGCAGATAAATTTTTCTGATCACATTCATTGTCATTATGGGAGCTCTTTATTCTTCTGGATTCATATTTGTGTGAATTTTGGAGTACACTTGCATTCAGTAGAAATGTAGGAAATCACAATCAAGCATTGTGTATCTCATGCCAAATGGTTGAGAAAAATTCTGGAAAACATGAAAAAGAATGAGAAACCTGGGAGTAAAATTCTACCATTGTGTATCATCTTCATTTTTTCCTGAAAAAAGAAGACTTAAGACTTATAATTGTATATTATTTTTGTTAGTTTTTTGTGGTGTTTTCTGCACTAAATGTTTTCAAGACATTGTGAATCATTAACATTGTAAAACGAGAATATGGATGTGATTTACTGTTGAATGCAGAATTCAGCTCTTGCAATCCTCCACACAAATTATTTAGTGGCATTTTAAGAACGTACCTCTGTTTTCTTGTCTCAGGTATTTGTACAAGCTCTGTGACCTGCACAAAGAGTGTGACAACTACACAGAAGCTGCTTATACCTTGCTTCTCCATGCAAAACTTCTTAAGGTAATATAAATCACCTTGCACATTGATAATTCTGTTACACATTTTAAGATTCTTCCGAATTTTATTTTTCATTGGCAAATTTTAGTAAACCTATAACTTAAGAATTATGAATATTAACTAAATGCAATGACATGAACAAAAATATTTAGGAAGTCCTTTGACTACAAGTGTGAACCTATTGAATGCAGTCTTAGCAAGATGCCATACCAAGTTATCATTAAGCATCGTAAATGCCCATTTTCAGGCTGGAAGCTAGTAACAAGTCAAAGATTCTACACTACCTTATTCATGCCAACAGGACTCTGTAAAGGTAGAGAAACAACATCAATAAGAAGGGATTTTTCTGGTAAAATGGCTAAGACATGGGATGAGACATACCCTTAATTGTCTGAGTAAAGAGTTAGGGACCAGAACATGACTTTTTTGTCTGTCAGTTCACATGGAAGCCTCCTGTTACGAGCTTTCTCTGCCTTATTCTTTTAAAGAATGTTGCTTCTGAGCACGGGTCAGATGTGACGATGTTCAATTATCGGTGGTTCTTTTATTACGCAGATAAATGTAGACATTAACTTTCTTTATTTACAGTGATGGATGGATGGATGGATGGACGGATGGATGGGTGGACAGACGAGAGAATGACTATATAACCTCTAGTTTTAAATTTCAGAACTTCGGCAAGTTATTAGATTGTTTTTCTCATTATATTCTTATAAAAAATTTTAAAATTATGAACTAGATAAACAAAAATAGTTACAAGAATTAGAATTTAGTTCGGTGACCCTACACAAAAATTACTCATTCAAGGACTCATGTTACCGAATCAAAACCAGCCTTCCTGATACCAAAAATGAAATGAAAGATAACCAGAGGAAATTACACTAAATGGGCATTAAACAATGCCAGTTGAATAATGAGAGTTAAGGAGGTTACTCTGTTACGGAGTAAAACTCTGGTAAGACTCTCTTTAGTCTTTGGCCTGATTCTGAAATTTCCAGGAGCTTCTGTGAGACAATATACACAAAGGCTGCCTGGAGACATTTGAGTGTGGAAATTTACAGCAGCCTGGAAACAAAAGGGCCCATTACAAGTAAACCATGAGGATCTCGGCTCAATCTGGACGCCTCATCAGCTGTCCTCCCGAGACCGGCTGCCTGAGCACCCCTTTGGCCCTGTACCTCATAAGCTTCTCCCAAGGAGCATAATTTATGAAGACAGAGGTTTTAATTGGTACATCTGACAGCAGCCATCCCACTATGAAGTCTGATGACTATCATTTATTAGAAAACCGAAATTTTGGTAACAAGATATTTTTGCAAATGTGAAGATATTTCTTCTACTCCAGGGAAATTAAAACAGGATTGTCAAACTGCTCACTCAACCCTTACTGTCTCTCTCATAGAACATAAACTTTTATATGCACATGTGAATGTAAAACATACATATGTACATAAAAATATCATTTGTTTAATCATTGGGTTTATTGGGTTTGCCACAAACTGCATGATGGTTTGTTTCATGACCAAATCAATAGGCCGATTTTCATTATCTTTTCCACTGGGATTCTGAATTAGGTTAAATGGGGAATGCTATATAATCTCCCCCCATATCTTTTACCCCATTATATCATGCATTTTTTTCAAAATATGTTTTGGTACTTCTGTGAATGTGAATGCATGCTGGTTAATCAACTCACTAAACAACGTGATATATACTGTTATGAAAATTCTTCAATATGACAAATATATTCTTATTTATTAATTAAAAACCCTCAAATAGAATCTTCTCTTTTGGTGAAGCATATTTCTGGTTAAATCCAAGAACAATAATAAAAACATTAGATTTTAGTCTAACAATCAAATCACTTCAGCTCCACGTTTAAGTGGAAGGTAGAGATGATTTTTGCTTTCCTACTCAGTGTTTCTTCTCTTTTACAAAAGTGGTTTAAAATCAAAGGCAATCATTTGAATCCTGAATTTCTTGCTCTTAATTTATTTCTATTGTAGTCACGCTTCAGAATTCTCTAAAGCTTGGCTTTTTTTCTCCCACCCTCCAATAAAAGTAGACCATAACACCAGTTATGTTGTATACATTCCAAAGTTAACGAATTTGTCATTTTCAGTTGTGGTAGGGATAGGTGAGTACAATTTTAAGATGAAAAATCTTACAGATTTCTCACTCTTACCTGACCTTCCTGGAGATGGGGAGCCATTGAAATACCGTGCTCAGCACCATGTACATTGGAGCCCTGGGGTCCAGCATGAAGTGTTTCTGGGTCCCTGGCTTCAGGAAGATGGGTAGGGGCTAAGAAACTCATTCTAATTATGTCTTCCTTTGAGCCTCCCAGATCAGTTAGCATGAACTTACACCTCCCACCCTTAGGGTACCATGAAATCTTTTTTTGCAGTGTTCTTTCTTTTTATTTATTTATTATTATTATTATTTTATTTTAGAGACAGGGCTTGCTCTGTCGCCCAGACTGGATTGCAGTGGCACAATCATAACTCACGCAGTGTTCTTTTTTTATTTTTGAGTTGGAGCCTTACTCCTTTGCCCAGGCTGAAGTGCAGTGGCACACACGCTCACGGCCACCCCAGCGTCGAGCTGCTGGGCTCCGGCGATCCTTCCGCCTCAGCCTTCCGAGTAGCCAGAACTACCCGCGCGCACCATCACGCCCGGCTATTTTTTAAATTTTATTGCAGAGACGAGGTCTCGCCAACTTGCCGGGCTGGTCTCAAACCCGCGGGCTCCGGCAATCCACTCGCCTCGGCCTCCCAAGGTGCTGGGATGACAGGCTGAGCCACCGAGCCCGGCCACGCAGTGTTCTTATGTATCGTTATGCTCTGTGTAATTTCACTATCCTGGGAGACTCGGAGTTCCTGGGGTCAGGCACCTTCTGCCTCCACTGTGACCTCGTCTTGGCACATAGTAGGCCCTCACCAAATAATTGCTGAATCTTATCAAGCCCTATATGTCACGCCATTTATTTGTTGAGCTGAATTCAGGGTTGTGCGTGTTTTATTTGTCAAGTGGCCCTGCCTTATTTGTCAAGTGGCCCTGCCTTCCCTCTGGCATGTCACCCTGGTTTGCTGAGACCTCTGTGCATCTTGGGCTTACAAGTTAACCGCACCAGCAATTTCACAAGCACTGAGCAAGCCCTGAATCTGTGCCAGACACTGCACCTAGGGCTGAAGGTACAAAGACACCTCCTTGTCTCTGAGAAGCTTGATCTAGACTATCAAGTCCTTTTCTTTATGACTTGTAAATGGTATCCATGTGTCTTCTTTGCTGTCTATTAAAAATGTTGAGCAACACAGAACAGAGACCAGAATCCTGGGACGTCGCACTAGAGACAGCCCACAGATCAGCTGGCTCCTAATTTGTCCCGGGATATCACGAGGTATTAATAGCAAGCTGCCAGTTCTATGCTTTCCAGAACTTGCTGGTTTTTCTTCCATACGAACCTGACCATAGCCTTCTCTTTCATTCCTCGTGGGGCCTGCAGATGGAGGTCTGCCCTTGAGTTCCCAGGCCTTGGCAGCCTGATGACAGCAGCCACTTGTGTCTCCAGAATTGGGGCCCACACGGGGCTCCAAATGCGGGGCCGTGCTGCTTTCTGGCGCAGGAGTGGGCAGTGGTGTTACTAGGCGTGTCTCGCCTCAGGGCTGCTCACGTTTTGCTTTTGCCTCAGTGGTCCGAGGATGTGTGCGCAGCCCACCTCACCCAGCGGGACGGGTACCAGGCGACGACACAGGGACAGTTGAAAGAGCAGCTCTATCAGGAAATCATCCACTACTTCGACAAAGGCAAGGTAAAAAAAAAAAAAAAACAGTGCAATTTTTATTCTCTTTCCCTCTTTATGTGCACCTACCTACGGCGATGTAAACACCCTTTCTTTACCACGCAATGTATGCAGAGCCAGAAACTTGTTACAAATTGCATATTGAAATGTTTTATGCATGTTCCTTCAGGTTGCACTTAAAAGTAGACATCTTTAAAAAAAAAATCAATAGCCCTCTTGTAGATGCTTTGTTGAAAGTCAGAACTGGAAAAGCTCAAGTATTTTTACAGCCCTTACCAAGTCTAGGACACTGACTTGAAGATGTGTCTTGTGCCCTTGGAGTTAATGTATTCCTTCGACATTTTGCATTTTTCTATTTTCACCAAAAAATTAACCCTATGGTAAGACAGATATGGCCCCACCCAAAATTTTAGATTCAGTTGACTTGTACTAAAATAAAACCTGCCATCATTTTAATCAGCCAGTATTATATTTTGTCACTGTAGTTCTTGTGATTCAGATATGCAATAACTATCTTTGTTTGTTTTTTAAAAAGCTCTTTCAGCTTCAGAAGTTTTAAAAAATCTGCCACCAAAATGACATCGGAACTCCTTCTGTGGCTCAATCAGGATTCTTAACTCATTTCAGAACCTGTTTTATTTTTTTCACACTTTGGGAAAAGTCACTAGTGAACTGCAGGAACGTACCTATGTTAGTGTCCTAAGGCTATATTGTAATAAAGTATCACAAACTGGATGGCTTTCAACAACAGGAATTTGTTCTTTCATCACTTAGTTCTGGAAGCTATGTGGCCATGCTCCCTATGAAGGCTCTTGGGAAGTGTATGCCCCACGCCTCTTCCTTAGTGTCTGGTGCTGCCAGCAATTCTTGGCATTTTTCAGCTTGTAGCCATGTTGCTCCAGTCTCTGCTTCCATCCTCACAGGTGTTCTCCCAGTGTGTGTCTCTGTGTCTAAATCTCCCTCTTATAGGGAGTCATTGGATCAGGGCCCTGTCTACTCCAGTATGACCTCATCTTAACTTGATTACATCCAAAGACCCTGCTTCCAAAAAACGTCACATTCATAGATACCAGGGGTTAGGACTTCACATATCTTTTGGGGGACACAGTTCAACAGCATCTATGCCAGGAAAGGATAACAGCTGCCCCTTTCTGTGGCTGTTGACGTAAACCAAACCCAGTAGAATCCCTGTGATCACAAGCTTGGGATTCTTCTTACATGTGGAGGGGTCGTTAATGTAGCTTTCATTTGTCCCTGATGTCCTTGACACAGGGAAAAAAGTCCAAATTCTGCATTATAGCATGTAGCCTGGCCGAAGGCCACTTGGAAATAAGGATCAGAAGTGTTCTGTGGATGACACCCAGTCCTGTAGTAGAATGGAATACATTTTTTAACCAAAATGAGAAGCGTTCATGATTAGGGCCAATTACTCAAATTTTATTAGCTTAGCAAGCGGCTTAAGAAATGGAGGAGATTCAGTCATTCTTCTCCTCAGTGGCTCTAGAACACATTCATGGCTTGATGATGCTCTAGAGAAGAGTAATTGGGGCTACGGAGTGGTCAGGGGAGAAAGTGGAGACCCCAGGAAACCCGAGAGCCGGAGGTCATGGGGGCTGAAGGAATGTGTACCTTGGCTGATGGCTACTGCCGGGCTCTCCTTGGGCCACACGTCCTCTGACAAGCATTGGGCCTGAGACTCCTCCATCTCACCCCCTCGTTCCTCCCCTCGCTCGCTGGATTCCAACTACACTGCCCCTTTAGGTCCTGAAATATACTACCCTTTCCTGCCTCTGCCCAGTGGCATTCTGCTGCTGTCCTCGGAGCTCATTCCTTCCCATCTCAGCTTAAATGTCACCTTGTTTCTAGCCCCAGAAACATCCTCTTCTTTTCCTCTAAGGTACTTACTACCATTTTCAGTGATAGATTTGTGAACATATTTCTTTTTCTTTTTTTTTTTTTTGAGTTGGAGTCTCACTCAGTCGCCTAGACTGGAACGCAGTGGCCACTCCCGGCCACCGCAGCCTCGACCTGCTGGGCTCCAGCGATCCTTCCGCCCCAGCCTTCCGAGTAGCCGGAATTACAGGCATGCGCTACCACGCCCGGTTGATTTTTTGATTTATTGTAGAGATGAGATCTCGCTGTCCAGGCGGGTCTCGAACCCGCGGGCTCAGGCAATCCACTCACTCACCTCAGCCTCCCAAAGGTGCGGGGTTACAGGCTGAGCCACCGAACCCGGCTTGAACGTATTTCTTTAGTGAGTCCCCCAGTTGGCCATGAGCTCTGTGAGGACCAAGTCCTCCCATGTTTCTCTCCCACCATGCACCTAAAGGTGCGAACAGAGCACACAGAATGTGCTCATAGGGCCTGTGTTGAAAGAATGGACAGACGAATGAATGAGTACTCAGCATTTCACAGTGCTCCTGACAGATGAGAAGTGCTCACTGAGGGTCTCCAATAAATAATACATAAAAAACAAAGGACTTTTATTTCTTTTTTAGCAAAGGTAGCCAGATGTCTTTATCTATGTTATAATAGTTCATCAAAAAATCATATGGAAGCCGGGCTCCGTGGCTCAGCCTGTAATCCCGCGCCTTTGGGAGGCTGAGGTGAGTGGATTGCCTGAGCCTGCGGGTTCGAGACCCGCCTGGGCAGCGAGACCTCATCTCCACAATAAATCAAAAAAAACAGCCAGGCGTGGTAGCGCAGGCCTGTAATTCCGGCTACTTGGAAGGCTGAGGCGGAAGGATCGCTGGAGCCCAGCAGGTCGAGGCTGCGGTGACCGGGAGTGGCCACTGCACTCCAGTCTGGGCGACAGAGTGAGACTCCAACTCAAAAAAAAAAAAAAAAAAGAAAAAATCATATGGAGGGGCAAAACAAGAATGTCTTTTGTTTAGAACAGTGGTTCTCAACCAGGATCTGTAGGAGACATTTTAGGTTGTCATAGACTGGGGAAAGAGTAGGTGCTACTGGAATCCAGTGGATAGAGGACAGGGTCACTACTAAATATCCTACAATGCACAGGATGGTTCCTACCGCAAAGAATTACAAGAGTGCTGAGACTGAGAAAGCCTGGCTCAGAAAAAGCGAATTCAAGCAACAAAATATTAAAGGCAGAAAAAGGAAAACTGGCTGAAAGAATGTCCTCAGATGTCCCTGCATTTTGGTGGAGACAGAAATATGACAATGATCACGTGATCATCGGCTGACCTTGAGTCAGAATGAGCTTAGGGGGATCGTCTTCATAGTAGCTATATTGATAAAACAGATTGGAAAGTCATTACTGAGTATCTGTAACGTTTCCACCAGAATTTTAAAAAGGGTCAAAGTCTGCTTATCCATCTGAAACTAAAGTGAGACTGAATACATGTGCTGGGAAGAATTTAATAAAATGAAATTTGAAGTACCAGGGTGATTAGCTGCAAAAAAAAAAAAAATTCATTTTAGCATCAACAAGCATTACATTTTATGGGAGAAATAGCAGTAGGAAATCATTCTTCATCCTCTGTGTCTGTCCAAATGGCCTGAAATATGCTAGAATTTCAGCCTCTCGACATCTCTGTGGCTCCAAACAGCACAGGTGTATTTCTCACGCACATTCCATGTCCTCTCTTGGGTTCCTCCACAAAAGCGTGTAGCCAGCGAAGGGGCAGTTAGAAGTTGCCAGCCCTTTGGACTTCTGCCCCAAGATGACACCTGTGTTTCTGCTCATGTCTTTGGCTGAAGCAGATCACATGGCCAAACCACACTTCAAGGGGTGGGGAAATGCCCAGAAGGGCAGGTGAATAAGAGCAGCACCTACGTGTGCACCCCAGCTTTTAATTAGACAGGTGAGTCAGGGTTCTAATCAAGAGTTTTTTTGGCACATGGAAAAGCTAACCTAGAAATTACCTAAGTATGAGTGTATTCTAAGAAAAATATTGTTCAGACCGGTTCCCAAAATAGTATGGCTTTCCACAACTGGTGATGTGAGAATAGAATTGTCTTATGAAACTTGTTGGGCCTTGATTCTGGTATCTCCATGCCTGAATTTCTTTCTTCCATGGGAGTGGGACTTAGACAGGCAGGGCCTGCAGAAGAAGCAGCACAAGAGGATGGGTTCCTCTTCCCTGTGACCAGGATTCTGGAAATCTCACCAGGCAGAAGGTGGGGGAGGTTGGGGGCTCACAGGAGAAGATCAAAGTTTGACACTTGGTGTCAGATTTAGAATCACTCTCATTTAGGAAATATGGCTGAGGCACAGGCACTCCTGCCCGATTTGGGTATATGCAATAATTTGAGAAATCATATCCTTCCTGCTTTTTCTAAAAGCAATAGAATAAGACAGATGGCCAAGGCTATTATTGAAGATTAAGAAGCTTAATGTTGGGAGGGCCCAGATGCACAAATGTTCATACTCCATTCTGAGATTACAGTGATCTTAGGGGAAAAATATTTCAGAATGACTCACAGGTCATCATTACAGGCTTTGGTTGGCAGGTGATACAGTCAATGGGACCTGGGAGGGCCTTGATTCATGGGAGACCCTCTGATCGGTCGGGCACAGAGAAGTCAGCAATCAAGTAATGGGTAGGGCTCTGACTCTCGCTATCCGGTACTGAGTCTGGGCCACCTGCAGCCACTGGGCATTTGTGTGTGGCTGGTCCAAATAGCACCGCAGTGTGCTGTCAGTGTGCAGTACACACTGTATTCTTAAGACTTAGTGCAAAAAAGCACATGTTTTTATGAGCTGAGTTGTACCCTCCCAAAATTCATATGTTGAAGACCTAACCCCTAGCACCTCAGAATGTGACCTTACTTGGAGACAGTGTTTTTTAATGGTAGTTAAGGTAACATGAGGTCATTTGGGTGAGTTCTCATCAAATCTGACTGGTATTTTTATAAAAAGAAGAAGATAAGGACAGAGACACACACAGAGGGATGACCCCATGAAGACCTGTGGCAAAGGAGGCTGTCTGCAGGCTAAGAAGAGAGGGTTCCAGAAGAAACCAGCTCTGCTGGCACCTTGATCT